AGGGAGAGGGAGAGGGAGAGGGAGAGGGAGAGGGAGAGGGAGAGGGAGAGGGAGAGGGAGAGGGAGAGGACAAGAAGTTTGTTCACTTGGAGGAGAGGATGCTCAGAGTGCATCAGGCTGCCTCCTGCCATGCGTGCAAGCTCGTGCTTCTTGGCCTTGCGGGAGAACCTGACCCTGACACCCACGTCCTGCTCGTCGTAGATTTCTTCTTGCAGGATCTCCTCGCTGCCATCGCGTCAAAGATGCTCATGGTCTTCTCAGGTCTTGCTCTCACATGAGATCTTCAAGTGTTATGATGCCAACAGTCTTGTAGTAAGGGTCTCCGTCATCAACACACACAACCTCCTGCCCATCCTGTCACTCTCTCTCCCCTCCACAAATTCGCTCCTGCTCGCCTGCACTAGGGCCATGTGGCTCCTGCCGGACTTGAACACCTTCATCACTTCCGACGTCTTGCAGTCGTTGAAGACGATGGGGATGTCGCGCCCAAACCAGTGGTGGCAGAGCATGCGGACAGGTAGGGCGTCTTCGGGGTCGACGAGGATGAGTTCTTTCACAAAGAGGAGCGCGACGACTTTCTTGATCCCGTGGGGATCGACCTCGAAGACGGGAACGCGCGAGTGACCCGCCTGGAAAACTTTCATGATGGTCTCGAAGTTCAAGTTGTCGTCCATGTGCAGCATGAAAACTTCTTCAATCTTCGTCATGCACGTCCCGACGGTCTTCTTGCCGAAATCCAGAGCGCCTGCCATGATGTTCGTGTCCTCCTGCTGAAAGTCTGTGTCCTGCATCTTGGCATACATCTCCAGCATACCCTTGAGCTGGTTGCGGCTGTATATCGTTCCGATCTCCTCCCCCAGGAGCTGGTCAAGGATAAGGGACACGGGGTAGGACGCGAGGAAGGTGAGGATGACGAAGAGATAAACAAGGGGAATGCAGGCAGATCCGATTGCAAGAGGATGGCGGGAGCACACGGACTGCGGGATGATCTCGCCGAAGATGACGATGGACAAGGTTGAGATGAGGAAGCCTGCGAACCCAGAGGTCATGTCCGCCATGATGATGGACAGCAGGCAGTTCACGGCGACGTTCCCGAAGAGGAGCGTGCACAACAGGAGGTTGCCGCGCTTGCGGAACGGCTGGATCCTCCGAGCATAGCGCGCATCTCGTCGTTCTGAGGGGAACAGAGGGGTGAGAAGGAGCAAGTTAGGAGGAGCAAGAAGACCTGAGGCTGAGGCTTCGGGTCTCTCCCCGCTCTCTATCACAATCCGCAGCCCCACTTGGTCGAGACCCATCAGCCCCAGGGTCAACCCCTGAGAAGATGTCACTCCTCCTACTACTACTACTACTACTACTCCTACTCCTCTTCTCCCCCAACCCCCTTCACTCCTTCTGCTCCTGCTCCTCCTGCTTCTGCTCCTGCTCCTCTTCTCCCCCCCCAAAACCCTACTCACCCCCACTCCATCCCCCTCCTTCCTCCCTCCCCTCCTCCCTACTCATACTACTTCTCCACTCCTACTCGTTGCCATACCGAGAAGAGCGCTGAGAGGGAGATGAGGACAACCGAGGCGATCAATGACGTTGCGTTGATACTCGACATGCTGTTCAGTCTTCTGTCTTCTGTTGCAGCTAGCAGTGGGAGAGCAACATCCTCTTGAGACTGCATTACCTAACATCAGGTTGCCGATTCCATTCGATCCTCTATCCCCTCTTTCACTGACACTGACACTCACACCCTCTGACTATGGTACACTCTCGCCACATGGTCTCTCCTCTCCTGACTTGCTTCTTCTCCTCTTGCTTCTTCTCCTCTTCCTTCCTCTCCTCTTCCTTCCTGCTTTCCTTCCTGTCTTCCCTTCCTCCTGCGCTTCGCCTCCGGGACTGCCTGCACTTACATTTCCACCAACTTGACTAAACCCCCCGGGCACCACCCCACCCCCATCTCCACCTGCCATGCACCCCTACATCACTACAGCCAACTTCGCCTAGGCAGATTTTTACTTACCTATTCAAAGTTTTACTCAAACTTTGAACACGTGAAGTTCCTCCTCCTCCTCCTCCTCCTCCTCC